CGCCAGTGTGACTGCATTCTTCACTGCACCCTCTCCTTCAGGATCCCACCCGATGCTTTCCACAGGCTCCCCTCTCTCCAGCCCTACAGCAAAGGGCTCAGCTCCTTCCCACTCCCTCTAAAACCTAAATTCACAGGGAGAAGAGGCAGCAGGCTGGGCTGTATCTCTCCCTCTGCCAAGGAGGGGATTCCTAAGCAATGGGAGACAAATAAGCATTTGCTTTGTAGGGGCCCAGTATAGATTTATCATTTTTTGCATGCCCAGTTTGAGAAATTCCTGGCTTCCTTTGCAGGAGGACTGGCATTTCCCAGCTAGAGCTGCTCAAGTGGCTTTTTCTATAATAAATGGTATCCAGATAGTTAAAACAAAAAAGAATCATAGAATCATAGAATCATAGAATCATAGAATCATAGAATTGTTACGGTTGAAAAAGACCCTTAAGATCATCGAGTCCGACCGTTAACCTATCACTACCAAGTCCACCACTAAACTATGTCCTCGAGCACCACGTCTACCCGTCTTTTAAATACCTCCAGGGATGGGGCCCCTGGTGCAACTTGAGGCCATTTCCTCTCGTCCTATCGCTTGTTACTTGGGAGAAGAGACCGACCCCCACCTCGCTACAACCTCCTTTCAGGTAGTTGTAGAGAGCAATAATGTCTCCCCTCAGACTCCTCTTCTCCAGTCTAAACAACCCCAGTTCCCTCAGCCGCTCCTTATAAGACTTGTGCTCTAGACCCTGCACCAACTTCATTGCCCTTCTTTGGACATGCTCCAGCACCTCGATGTCTTTCTTGTAGTGAGGGGCCCAAAACTGAACACAGTACTTGAGGTGCGGCCTCACCAGTGCTGAGTACAGGGGCACTATCACCTCCCTGGTCCTGCTGGCCACACTCTTCCTGATACAAGCCAGGATGCCATTGGCCCTCTTGGCCACCTGAGCACACTGCTGGCTCATGTTCAGGTGGCTGTCAGCCAACACCCCCAGGTCCTTTTCTGCCAGGCAGCTCTCCAGCCACTCTTCCCCAAGCCTGTAGTGTTGCATGGGGTTGTTGTGACCTAAGTGCAGGACCCGGCACTTAGCCTTGTTGAATCTCATGCAGTTGGCCCCGGCCCAATGATCCAGCCTGTCCAGGTCCCTCTGTAGGGCCTTCCTACCCTCCAGCATTAGAGCAAAAAGCAGAATTGTGATCAGTTTGGTACATTGAGGCTCCTTTGCCTGCTCAAGTCCCTTGGAAATACCTCGAGATTTAACGATCAAGCAAGCAGACATCATTTGGAAAAAGTGAGCTGAAATATCATGGGGAGAAGGCAAAACCCAGGCCCAGGCTCTGACCTCCAGGATGGCACATTTCAGCAACAGTCCTTAAAAACCACGTCCTGAGCAGCGTTGTTTTTATCTAGGTGCTGGAAGATTTGTAAGACTCTCCCGCTGCTCCACGCCAAGCCGAAGCAGCAAGGACACAGTGCTCCTGTAAGGTGGCCGCTACTGCTGGGACTGTCCCTTTCCCCCCCATGGCCCCATGCACTGTTCCCCAGAGCGCTCCCACAAGCCCAGGTCCTTGCTGCAGTGTGTGGCTTGACACAACAGCTCGGATACCTGGCTGATGCCAGACCGATGCTCGTATCTGACCTCCGCCCCTTCACCATCGATTCCTGTGGTGGCTTTACTGGCAGGCCCAGTCTCGCTGGGTGATGGACATATCGCAGAGGGCTGGGATGGGGATGGTACCCAGAGGGGGATGTTATCTGTGGGTTCACTGGCATGGAGATGGGTGTAGAGGTATTGCTGCAGTCTGCTCCTCCTCTCTAGTAGCCTCTGAGCTTGGTTGCATCTGGCAGACCCAATCTGGCATTTGCTATTTTGGGCAGTGCTGTCTCAGGGGAGGTGGCGAATAGCACAGGGAGCCCGACACACACACAGCAAAGAAATTCAGGGCAACCATGATCTGCAGAAACCACAGGTCCCTGTGCAAAGCCATTTCCACATTCATTGAAATTAGCACACTATTAAGGTCTATTACGTTCAGGGCATAAGCATACAACAGATGTACAAGCCGCACAAATGCGTTGGCTTGTGACGGATTTCTCAGTCTTGGTCGACATGCTGCTGCTGCTGATTTCTGACGGCACCCTATGTGCCAGTGCTTTAAAGTGCTCCTATGTGTCAAGAAAGCAGTGCAAGAAGAGGCAGGCTGCTTTCTATGTGCCTCCATCCCCTGCAAGATCTGCTCATGCTCCAGCTTGTCCTACAGCCCCATGGGAGAGCTGAGCCACAGCAGGACAGGCTGGCTCCCTCCGTGCACCATTGCTGTCCAAGGGGGGCATCACCCGAGGCCGCTGGCTGCCATTGCTTTGCTTGGGGGTGGTGGCAGTGGGCTGTGGAGCTTTTGCTGGCTGGCACGTGCCCGGGCTCACCACCCAGGCTGCCGTGGTGGCTCTGGCATGCTGACAGTTGAGTATTTTCATGCTGGGTCTCACACACAGATATTTTGTTCTTTCAACAGGAAAAATACTTGGCTAGATCAGAGTGAGGAACAGGAGAAGATGAGGAATGCCAGTTGCCCACAGATGACTTACCACCTTGGCAGGTGGCCCTGTGCTTGCTGTGGCCAGTCTGCAACTTGGGGGAGGCAATATTTGGTGCCTGAGCCCCCTCCCTGCTCCAGCATCAGCACAAATACAAGGGAGGATGCTGCCCCTCCCTGGGGGAGCTTACCAGCTCCACCTGAGCCCCAGTAGCACTGCCCAAAGCACTTGCGCTCCCTGGACAGGGAATAAGAGGATGCTCTTGAGCATGTTTAGATGTTGAACCACATGGAAGGCATGGCTGAATCCAAACTGCCAGGGAGAGCAGAGCAACAGGTTGGGAACAGGCAGCAAAGCATCTTATGAAGTAGCTGGAAGCACCTTTAAATGCAGAGGCTCGAAACGCTCCAGCGAGCTGAGCACACATGGGTTTTATGACACCTAGGCTGAGTGACTTGCTGATGCTCAGCGGCAGGGGCTGGCAGCCACCTCCACCTTTCCAGAGCTTTGCCAGCAGTGGACTCCTGGGCTGGGGGAAGGGACCTCTAAACAGAGGTGACAATGCTGCCTGCTACATGCAGGGAGCAGGCACGTGCTGTCTTGCTCAAGCAAACTCTCTCTGCCCTCTTTGAGCTGTGCTATCATCCCTGCCAGCTGCTGAGCAGCTGCACTGGCCCCTGCACTGGGGCTGGAGGCCATAACCCCCTGCCCATCCCTGGATGCACTGATGCAGTGGCATCACCTGGGGTCCGCACCGTAGCCCAGGGGAGCTCCGAGTGTGCTGCATGAGTGCCAGGCAGTCAGCACTTAGAGCCAGGAGGAGAAGTCGCCTAGCATCCCAGCAGGAGAAGGGAGGGGAGCTGTCAGTGGTGCCTGCCGGCACTAGGGGAAGAGGAGAGGGAAAGACCATGAAGTCTTGGGGCTCAACTGGAAAAACAATGTATTTCCCATGTGGTACAGTGCAAAAATGTATTGTGTGGCTGCTTTAGCCGCCTGGGGACATGGTGTATCACGATCCCCTCATTTGCAATATGGGAAAAACAGGTACCATACATTTTGTACAGTAGGAAATTAACTGATGGAAAATATATTTGGTTTCCCACTTGAGAGGCAGGAGAGAGATGTAAAGCCTGGAAGCAGAAGGCAGGGCTGGGTATAGAGGGTCCTGGGGAAGGGTGTGGGGCACAGACATGGCAGATCTGTCCAGACAAGGGGACAGTGGAGGATGTTTGTTGTCATACTGTAACTTGTAAATTAATCTCAGGGAAAACCAAAGCATTGTGCAAGTCAAGCACCCTCCCCTTCAAAAAAAAAGCAAGCCTAGAATCACTCAGGAAGTGCATTGCGCAATGGGGACCTTCTCTAAATAAAATAACAGATGATGATGACAATAATATTAATAATATTAATATTAATATTAATAATAATAATAACAACAACAACAACAACAGCAACGAAGGTTTTGTATACAACCCCCACTTTCCCTCCAAGCAGCTGAAGAGGTGTGGAAGGATGCAGAGGGAAGGATGGGGCTGGACACAGCGGGGCGACCCAGGAGAAGAACAGTCGGAGCCCATCGGTAGCAGAGCTGCACAGACATTTATTGAACACAAACAATGACAAACACAGCTGGCTCACAGAGCTTCCTGAGCTATTGTCCAAAGGTTTTGCTTGTTGGGGATTGTCAAAAGAATGCTTTCAAAGGCCCCTGGGGGTGTGAATCCGGTAGAGCTGAATTCTTCTCACTTCCAGTTGCTCGCTAGTTAAAAAAGAGGACCATTTGTGTGTGTGTGATTCCCTTCATTTAGTATGAAAATGACTTGTCTGGACTCTGCCACATTGCAAAGACAGATGTCTGCATGCGCATCGGCTTGGCTCCCACACATTCTGCTTCCCAAACAACATGGGGTGAAAACTACACCTTACCCTGAGGGCAGGGATGGGAGGTTTCAAAGGTGAGCCAGGACAAGCAAAGCGAACGAAGCAGGAGCATCAAAGGAAGAAGGGTGAGAAAAGTAAGTACTCTGAAGCACGCACAGCTCTGAGCGGCGTCACACATCCATAGGCTACAGCAAGTACCGCCAACGTCAACCCCAATGTGTAAGTAGCTACGCTAGACTGACACTAGAGACCCCATCATCTTCTGAAGTCTTGCCAGCAGAAAAAAAACAACCCCCCCTTCCTACTCCGAAAAGCAGATGAAGTAATAACACCATACGCTGAAAACAAGGACCATAACCAAAGAGTTTGGGAGCAGCCTCAGGAGCACAGTAAGGAGCTTGTAAAGAAACGTTCCACTGTGTGCATATGCATGTGTATTTTTATATATATATATATATATTCATTAGTAAAGAAAAGAGTATCTGTGGAGGCAAAGGGAAGACGGTAAATGTACAGGCAGTACAGGCTGGGTGGAGTGCCGGGGGCGGGAGAGGGTCGGGTGGTGCGGAGTGGAGGATGGTGGGTGGAAATTAGAGTGCGCCCATTCCAGTGACCTCAGACGTCAGCCTAGAATAGACAGGGGCAGAGAGAGGGGTGGGAGGGAGACAAAAACAAGCACTTAATATCTGGAGCAGAAAAGAAGACCCTGGGAGGGGCATGAAGACCCTGCAGGGCAGCGCTCCTCCTCTTGCCTACGCCCCGCTCAGACGGGGGGCAGAGCATCACTGCGTGGCTTGAGTGCATGGGGCTTGGGGGTCCCAGTGGAGGGCATGAGGGGCTGGAGCATAGAGCCAGCTCAATGGCTGGCTGACTTCCCCTCTCATCACTGCTGCCAGGTAGTGCCCATCCCTGGCACTGCGCTGTGGCAGAGGTGCCACCCAGCAGGGGTGCTGGCAGGAGACATCCCAGCACACGGCTTCTCTTCTACCAGCATCCCTCCCATGCAGGACAGGCAGCTGTTCCAGCTCCTCCGGCTTCTTCGTTTTGTTCTGGTTTCTGAAACTATGGGAGAGGCTGAGCTATGCCCATCCTGCCCCGCCATTGGGTCATCTCTGCCTCCGCCACAGCACAGGCTGCAGCTCAGCCAGCTCTTCCCAGTAATGAAGAGCCACTCGTTTTTCTTTTCTTTCTCTTGTCTCAGGAGGTGGGGAGGATTTTCAAGGAGCTGCAGGGAAAGCTGCTCAACCATGCCTGCGGGCACGGGGCTGGCCCTGTCCCTCTCCTGAGTGGCTGGAGAGGTGCCATGGGTGTGGGCAGCGGGACAGGATGGGATGGTGGAGGTCTGTTGCAGGTCGGGGCTGAGGTGGGTTGGGTGCAAGGAGGAGAAAGCACGTACAGACCTCACTGGTGCTCCTAGTCCACACACCAACGAACATCAGAGTCACTGCCAACAGCCCCCCATCCTCAGGACCCTGCCAGCAGCCTCCCTCAGCCGCACACGTCCTGGGCTGGTGGCAGTCTGGCATGGCACCAACTCTGCCCGTGGCAGAGGGCATGGACAGGCAGATGGCCTCAGCTTGCACAGCTGTGCCAGGCACGCACGAAGCCAGCGAAAGGCCCTGTCTCCCCTTAAGCTCCCCAGCCACGAGTCTGTAGATGCAGGCATACAGGTCTGCATGAGCACCCTGGACACGGCTCACCGCCAGCACAGAGTTGGTCCCCCACCCCTCTCCAGCTATGCCTCCCCTATACACTCCTCTCACAGTCCCTTGCTGGACCGCCGGTCTGCCACGGCACAGGAAGCATCGCATCCCAGCTGGAGGCATCGTCAGGAGCACTCGGCCCCTGCAAAGTCCTGATGTGCCAAGCTTTTTAGCATGAAAAGGAAGCAATCAGGCTGTTCCCATGTCTTGTGTTTATTGGACTGATTATTTTCATTGGATGGAGGAAAGCCTTTGGGAGGCCTGGAAGCACGCGGAAGAGGCTTTGAGGCAGCAACAAGCAATGCTGGGATCCCAGAAAGCAGGTCCCAAGTGATGCCTCCCCACCACCAGCTCAGCTCTGTCCCCGTCCCTTGCCTTGTCCACACGGAAAGACAGCAGCAATTTTGCCCACCCACGAACAAAATCCTCAAATGAGGGTGACAGGTGGGCAGGCGACTGGCGCAACCCGTGGCTGCTCCACTGGCAGCGAAGCATCTCCCGGTCCCCAGCCAAAGCACCAGTGGGGTCAGAGGTCCTGCTGGTGACATCTGGTCCCCACTCAAAGGTCTCAGCAAGCCACCATCCGTCCCAGCTGGCCTCAGGAAGCCCCTCCTCGCCTGTGGTGCCAGGAGCGAGTGCTGCTCCCACCACACTGGCAGGATGTGTTCGGCCGTGGTGGGAGGTGGTGGAGTTCGGCGGGGGGGTCTCACCTGGCGTTGATGAGGTACTGCGCGAGGCTGATGTTTGCAGGGGTTCCTGTGATGGTAATTTGGCGCTCTGATGACCCTTCCGTAGCATTGGCGATTTTGATCTGCGCTCCTGACATCTGCCGAATTTCATTGATTTTGGTCCCTTGGCGTCCGATTATGCAGCCTATTAGCTAGAAAAAAAGCACGGAGGGAACGTCTGAGAAGCAGCAGCTCTGGCAGCCACCGGCCACCAGCAGGACGCGAGCACAACTGCACAGCGCTGGCCAGAAGCCCTCCTCCCTCTGCCCTGGAGCACGAGTGACCTTAATGCTCATGAAAACAGGAGAGGGACAGCCTCCCACCTGCATGGGAGCACAGTCCTCCCAAGACACGTCCAACAGCCTGCCCTGCTCTGCTCCTCGTGGGGCAAATTTCAATTATCCACACATGATGTCTGGCATCTCAGAGGGCTTCAGTAAGGATGAGGCATTATACCGGGCTCATTTCAGCAATAATAATTTTCATGGTCTAATAGTTGGTCCCTGTTTTGCAAGGGTCTAAGGATGGGAATAAATCATGTTTCAGACTGTGCTCCGCACTTATCCCCTCACTAATCACAGCGAACCTGAAAATGGTTATACAGGACGCGTTACTGGAAGAAAACAAGCCTGCTGCCTTCCCTGGGGACAGCCCAACCCCAAGTGCCCCCTCATCAGCCAGTGCAGCCACACATCATTGATAGCTTCATGTTGTTCACCCCATCCCAGACTTCTTCTATCTTGCTGGGACACCCTTGCTGCCTCTGTTACCCACTTCAGCTCTTTCAGTGCAATGCAAGGGCTCACTGGCATTCACACCATTGACAGGAGAGCTCCATGTGGCTGTGGCACCAGCAGAAGAGGAGAATCCTACTTAAAAACATGTCTTTCACACTCTTGTGAAAAAATTAGAGCCAGCTGGAGGCTTGAATTTCCTCAGTTGCCTGCCCCTTGAATTTCCTCAATGGTCCTCAATGGCTTGAATTTCCTCAGTCGTCTTCATCTTTGCTTTCACTCATTTGTGCATCAAACTATGGTTCCCTGAAGCACCTCCGCACCTTGGTAACATATACCGAGATGTTCAGCTTTACCAGCACAGGCATGAGGTGTTTCTGTATACCTTTCTTGGCCATCAGCATTTGAGCTCCTTTCCAAGGTTGCACTTGGGAATTTTATATGTGGGACATTAATTTTGGCAGCTGCTAGATTTCTGTCACTGTAGAAGTGGAGACAACTACTCCTTCAAATGTTCACTGGTCCTGTTGTCAGACCATGGGGCTACCTTAGTGGTTTGTCCCATATGGACCTGAATATACACCCCACTGCAGTGCTGGAAGGGTATCAACTATCTCAGGGGCTGCAGCATGATGTTCAGCCCAACAGCCACCCAGTCTGGTCTTCACTGCACAGAAATAACTCAGAGATGCTTCAGCAAATTAAAATCCCTTACAGCTGGAACCTGCTGGAGAGCCCTGAGGAGCCAAACCTATTTGGAGAGATGTTCAGCAACATCCAAGCAACTCTGCACAGCGTTCAAGTTTCTCCTGACAGTCAGAGGAGTGACAAGATGAATTTCATCATCAGCTTTCCTCCAACTCTCCTCTCTCTGCAGCACAACCACAAGCTGATCTACACCACTAAAACACACCTGTAGACCCTTTGCCTTACAAAACCCAAACCTGTCCTCTGCTTCCTAGGAAGGTGGGAATGAGAAGTTAAAGAGCCTTCAAAATGACAGAAAGCAGAACCGAAGAGGCATTTTTCAGCAGGCAGAAAGATGCAGGCGATGACATTTAACACTGTGCAGGCCTGATGAGAGCCGGGCTTTTAGTGAGCGAACGCTCTGGGTGCTTCTGGGTCCCATGGTGGGTCCCATGGTGGGTCCCTCGGCATGTTAAAGGGGAGGAAAGGCCCCTTTCCAAGGGGTCACTTGATATTCCTGAAGATGCTCTCATTGCTGCCAGGGCCACAGTCCCCCACACTTGACAGACATGGCTGTGGTAACCTTGGGAGTGCTTGCAGAGCTCCCCACAGCCTGCCAGAGGCGGCTCCTCGCTGGATGGACAGAAGCAGACCCGGGATCAGCCCTGCTGCCATCTCCCACGGGTTCCTCTGCAGAGCCCTTCTGCAGCGGGTTGACCCTGGGGTGAAGCATCTCTGAGGGCTTCAGCTGGCAGATGCTCAGAAGCTGTTTCACTGCCACATCTCTCGGGTGGAAGGAGGCCTCACAAGTGCCCTGGAGGAGCCGAGGTGCCTGGCAGCCGCAGCCAGGCTCACTGCCCTTCCCTTGCACTGCTGCGCGTGGGTGAACAGCAGGAAGAAGTCGCAACAGCTGCCAGACCCGATCCAGATACTCCTGATGAAGATGGGCTGAAGGTGTTTGTAGGTGATGGAGACAGGGACAGAGACTGGAAGTCATCCCTCCGTTTGCCCTGATCCTAATTTGAGTGCCCGCTGGTTATCAACTCATGGAAACTGGTAGGCCAGTCCAGAAGCAAGTGAAACCCTTGGATCCAGGTGCTGGCTGTGTTAGGCTCTCCATGCCACCTCCTCCCACCTGAGCATCCCCAAGCAACCTTTCTCGCACCGCTCAGTGCCCAGCGTGACTCCAGCCTCCTCCCAGTGAATATCCCAGTCCAACATCCAGTTTACCACGATGCCTCCATCTATAAGACCCAAAAGCTGCCTGCCACTCATACTAAGGTGAGACGCACCATCCTTCAGATGCTTGTGTGGCACTTTGTGGCATCAGAAACACTATTTACTTACCTCTTCTTCACCACCACCCACAGTAACTATGCTTGAGCTAGATTAAGCAATTATAGTTTAATCAGGGCCAGCTTGGGAGCTCTCTCCCCTTCCCAGTGCTGTCAACTGGGCATGTTTCATGAGCACTGAGTTCACTTGGAAAGGGAAAAGGAGCATTAAGGAGGATTGTACCTAGGAAAGCTATCAGTGGGGTAAAATCCAATGGGTGATTTTGTGCTGCAGGCCGATCTTCGACAGGCTGCATATGGCATGAGTGAACCTGATGAAGGGGTACCTCTAAACATATTTAACAAAGTCATATGCCTGCTGCTTATACACACACACACACAGAGACACATGCTGAGGAAGCACTTGGATTTACTTACATCATTGGGAATGGTGAGTTCATGAGTACTGGCCGGGGGACTGGCATCCAAACCTGGGCATATGCAAGGGAAAGTGGTTATAGCTTGCAAAGGCAGCATGGTGGAGCTCCGCTGCTTTCCCGCAACAGTCAACACTGCAAAGGCTGCGTCCTGCTCCGGGGCTGGGAGGGGAAGGGGATCACACACTCTGGTACAAGGAGGAGGAATACAGTTGCTACCTGACTCTTCTGGAGCTGGGTCCCACCTTCCCCTGCATCCCTCGAGCTGGCCTCGCAGGTGCTGCCCCATGAGTGCCTCGCTTCCCACCCTCCATCGTCCCACTGGGAATGGCTTCAGAGGAGGGTGTGTGACAGCGCAAGGATGCAGCATCGCTGGGGAGGGTCTGACAGAGGTGGGAAAAGCACCTTCCCTCCTCCACACAGCAGCAGACAACCTGCTGGCTGGGAAACCCAACCCTAGAGGCAGACAGCCTGCTAGCGGGAGGGTTGTCCACACACCCTCCAGCCCTCTCTCGATACAGCAGTGCAGAGCTGTTTGGTTACAACAGCAGCTTGGTGCCCCAAAACCGATTTCCCCAGGGGATCCAGTGGTGCTAAGCACAGGGCAGCCTGCAAAGAACTGTGCAAGTGAAAGCCCCACAGACTTGCACGCTGAATTTAAGCCAGACTGCTAAGACATGCATGCTAGCTGGACCCAGGACTGATGGTCCCTCTTACTCTCAAGGTAAAGCATGGCAAACAGTACGCAGCCAGCAGACTACCCTGTGTGTGCAGCTCCAGAGGCAAGAGGACAGCATGCCGCAATGCTCCTAGGCCAGGCTGAAGCCTGCCTCTCCCACAGGTTTCCATATTAAATCACCTCAATGCTGAAGCAGGGATGTCCTATTGCAAATCTGCCAGACAGAAGCTGTCTACTGGCTAACAGGAGTTTGCAGTAACCTCAAAAAAACCCTTATCCATATGATATGAACTACCAAGGAAGGCTTTTAAGAGCAGTGTGTGCAGAGTAAGGGGGTGCAGAGAAAAGAAGCACAAGGAGACTGGAAGTGCTGGGCTACTACAACACAAGACAGCAGCAGCACTGAATTCCTAGTCACCCAGTCCAGCAGGGCCTTCTCACGCTGCATGGCGCTATGCTGCTGCCTTAACCATGCTGAGCAACTCCTCCAAACAATGGCCAAGTTTTGATGGTCTGCATTTCCACTGAGGCTCTCTGTAGCGTGGAAGAGGAGCTCCCGTCCAGTTTTGCCAGCAACAGCTGCCCAGGTTTTAAAACCCAGCAGGTCTGACCTGATGTTGGTTTGGGTACTGGCACTGTCAAAGCAAGATTTCTAACATACTAAAATGAAGCCTTAGGTTGCAATCTCGTTTGGGCATCACCCCTAGAAAGGAGAATATCAGGTATCCTTGATTTGCTCTTGCATGATTCCTGCCCTTTCCCACATACGCCTCCCTTACCGAGATGCAATGCCTGGGTACACCACCCAGGCACCTGCTTGCAGGAGGTCTCCCTACCACATTTTTCACTGAGCAGCACACAGAAAGGCAGGGAATAGGGACGCAAATCCTCCACTCAGCAGCCCTACACCCTCCTTCACCCCTGCTGGGTGCAATAATGCCAAAGCCTGCACAAAACAGCTCCTGCCCAGGTTTTACACAGCCCACAGTTTTACAATGCTTAATGCTGACTTTATACACACTGCACTGGAAGAGACATTTTACCAGCCCCGGACCATCTTTCACACTAAGCCTCCTCGCGGTCTAGGGCAAGAGGGACTGCACCTAACACAGACATGTCCCCCAGGGTGCAGATGTCCCCACCTCTCAGCCATGTGTTACAAGGCTCAGCTCAGTAGCAGCTTGAGTATGGCAGAAAATGTCTTCTGAAGATACCAGAGCACTGGGGATGGGCTCAGAGCAACACTGAGGCACCCAGGGGTCTTTGGAAAGGCAGGCTGGGCTCTTCAGATTCATAGATAGGGGTCTCCACCCCAGGCTCAGATGCCGCAGGTGCTGCTAAAAGCCCTTGGGGCACGTGGTGCCATGGTACTGCATCACCCCCTGCATCATGATGGCCATCGAGGAATGGCCACATCCTTCTCCATTTCCTGGAGATTGTTTACTTTAGCATACCAGACCTTCCTTCTCTGCTATGCACATGCAGTCCCCACGGCTGTTATGCAGGGGGGCCAGGGCAGGATTAGTCCCATGGGTGATTGCAAAGGGCAAAGCAGGGCATGCAAAAAAGAAGGCTGTGGAGGTTGGTATCATGATTTTTTTTTTGCTTTAGTCTTGTGGGGTCTTGGGCTACATTTGCTTTCATAGTTAGGAGATGTCCCCAAACTCTTTTGAGGCATGCATGTGATGCACCTCAGCTGGCTGCAGAGCACGTGTGTGCCCCAGGTACATCCAAAGGAGGTCTGGCTCACATCGCCTATGAACCTCCAGGTCTTAGGATAACCCCTCTAAGCAATGGTAGGTTATAAAAGATAAGCATGCTCAGCACATATGAATGCATGTGAGGGACATTTGACATCAAAATTACTCCAGGATTACAGACATGCTTTGGCTCCTCAGGGTCCTGTCCCACTAAAAATGCAGCTCACTCTGAATGGCTTAGCGATGGCTAAAATTGTGTCGTTTCCCTTGCCACAGGCATTTTTCTACTGTTCTGAGCAAAGTTTATACAAAATTAAATGAAAGAATAAGGGCAATGACTCTGACGTCTTTCTGTTATATGGATGGCAGTTATACGCAAACATCAAAAACCTAGGCAATAAACTCCAGACATTTTTCTTTTGACATGCTGTACAAAGGAGAATGGCAGGCACAGTGCTGCCCAGTCTCTCCCTGCCAACCAAGAAAACCTCCCATCTTCTCCACAAATATCACAATTTATCTAGGAGCACAACAATGGCACAGTCCTATTTAAGAAATATATTTCAACAGAAGCCTGCTTATTTCCCTGTATCTTTGTATTTTACCTGATGATTGGCCCATCAGATTTTGAGCTTCTTCGGAGGAATGTAAGGGCAGCTTTTCTCCTGAAGAGCAAAGAAGAAACAGGTTTAATGCTTTTGCCTTCAAGGAGATAAGCAATGTCACTTCATCTAGGAAGCTCAAAATATGATGAACATACTGTCAGAAAAGGCATTTCCAACTGGCATTTTGACCACCGAGTAAACAAAGGTACTTTAAGTATCTCCATCCCCTGCACTCTATCTGCTTTACAGGTCACCGTGAAATGCGTTAACTGCAACGCCAGCCTTGGGGACAAGGCTGCTGAGCCACGCTGGGGCTGGCTGTCCTCCCATCAACACGGCTCCCTACAGCCGCAGCTCCTTCCCATCGCTTTCCCTAGCACACGGGTGCCATCCTGCCCAGCTCAGCACCACTCCCCGCAGACACCGGGGCAGCATCCCCGGCTGGTGCTGAGCCGTTCCCCCTGGGAAAGTGGGGATGTCCCACTGGGGTCCGGATTTGTGCACAGCAGGGGATGCTACCTCCTCTGGGCAGGGAAGGATGGGAGACTGGCACTCACCACTTCCGCTGGGAAAGCCAGCAAAGCTGGTAGCAATGTAAGTGCGGCTCGCAGGAGCAGTCCAGGCGTGCACAGATAACGGCTGAGAGCTCACCCGTGATGACTGTAACTCCCAAACATCCATCCTGTCTCCCTGTTAACCTTTCCCCGTGGACATTGCAACTTCTGTTTTACTTGCCCTGCCTGTTTCCATTAAATAGCACGAGTTTAGACAGAGAGAGAAACTCTACAGGTAAGAAGAGAAGGATATCTAGAAAGGGCGTGTGGGTACGTACCAGGGAAAGCGGGGGTGGTCTGTCCAAGGGGAGTAAAGGGGGTTTGCTGCATAGCCAACTGGTGGAGCTTGGTCAACTGCTGAGGGGTAGGAGGGACATTAGAGCTAAGAAGGTTATTGTCATAGAGTACAACAAGTCACACTGAAAATCAAGAACAAAATTATAACGGAAGAAAAAAAAAGAAAAGAAAAAAAAAACAAACCAGGAAGCCATGGTGAGACATGGCAAAAACATTAGCAGAAGGACTTGGCCTGGGTAAAATGCAACAAAGCCCAAATCTTTTGCAGAAGTGCTTGGTCAGGGTCTGAAGTACGATACCAGCACGAAGCCCATTCTTAGTTTCCGCCCCTCATCAAACGGTTCAGCTCCTTCGTGGTGAGTGAGCGGCCGCCTCAGCGCACGGCCGGCTGCTGCAGCAGCACCAGGGCTGCTGCCTACGGTGCTTCCAGCCCGCTGCCTTCCCCTCCTGGGCTTCGCAACCTGCAACCAGAGGCTGCTGCTCGTTTCTGGGGAGGTTTTAGG